AAAAATAAGGACTCATTGCATCTCTGTTTTTCAGCTCTCTGGTGCATTGTTAATATGATTTCAGTATCAGGGTAAGCACTTCTTCCAATGATGCTTTTTTTGTGCAAAATCAACTTAGTATCTCTCTTTGGGAATTTAGAGTATACTTTCAGCAATATAATTTTTGAGGCAAAGCATAAACCGTTGAGAATGGATTAGACGGGGGGATAAATAAAATACACGTAGCACTTCCTACAGTACTTGGTACTTAGTAGTTTCTCTGTGATTATTGATTAAATGTGAGCAGCAAGGAAGTCATATCATTTTAATGAAATAGAAAGCTAGCTTTTCAATAGAATAGCCTTCCACTTTGTGTGGGCCTAATGGTATGTAATTACATAGCCAGCACCTTCCACGTGCCAGGACAGTGTGTAGAAAGATGAAACTTATGAAGACAGCTTCCAAATGGATCGGAACGGTGCTTACTCACTGTCCTAAATAGGCTTAACTGACCTCAGCTGGTTTTGCAGGGCACCATCAATAGAGACCACTTTCTACCAAAGAAATGCTGAGACAGAGCCCGTCTGAAATTGGAGCCCACCACCATTGCTTGGTGAGAATGCAAAATGGTACAATTGCTAAGGAAAACAAAAAACTTAAGTGTAGAACGACCGGTTGATCCATAAAACACAATCATAGGTATGTAGCCCACTCCCAGGGACACAAACCAAAACTTGTTTCCCAAATTTCATTAAGAAACAACCTGAAGGGTCCATCAACAGATGAGTGAAAAAACAAAATATGGGATGCCTTCGAGTACACATGCAACGGGATATTAGTGATAAAGAGAAATGACACATAGATGAGTTTTGAGAACATCTGGAGTGAGCTAAGTCAAAACAACAGGACAAATGTTATGTAACACCATGATATGAAATAGCTAAACAGAGAGACCGAAGGTTGTTAGCCACTACCAGGGCTCAGGAGGAGGAAAGGGGAGGTCTGTCCAGAGGGCACTGATGGCGACGGGAGTGGAGTACTTGGAAACCGTGGTGCTGGTTGCGTGCCATGATGACTTTGCCCAATGTCACATGTCCGTGCATGTGACGAATGTGCAAATGGCAAATAATTTGTTACATATCTACTTGACAAGCATGTTGAAATAGCAGGTGTTTTGTTTTATATATTTTTACCCACATTAAAACAGTTTTGTTTAAAGATTCAATTTGATAAACCCAAGTCTGGGTCATGAAAAAATTCTATTTCTAAAATGTAAAATGATTAGAAGATAAGATTTTGTGACAGAATTGCCCTCAAAAAAGGCGGAGCCACATCACTGTGGACATTGTGAATGCTCTTTCTATCTAAAAGCTATGGGGAGTTGCAAATGTTTATATTTTATTCATGAATCTTGACCTACTAGAGCAAAGCATTACATCTTAGGGTTGTACAAGAATGTGTGTAACTGGGTTTTGCAAATGTGCGTGGAACATCTTGGCAAGTGCTCTGTTCTTGCCTCAGCTCCATGCTTATCACTGCCCCACTTCTCTGAAAGGTTCTGAAGAAACCAAGACTTCAGAAGGTCCTGAAAACTGAGAGCGAAATGGCAGAGCAGTCAAAACCCTTTGCCAAGGGCTTCTCCGACTGGGAGAGCTGCCTCCAACCTGCACCACAGGAAATTCTCCTCTAAGCGCTTAAGAAAGTGTGATGAAGGTGCTGAGGGTACCAGTCCAGGGAATACCGTGTCCTGGCGATATTCTTCTGAGCCCCTGAGTCATCCAACATTAATTGTCTACCTGTAGTATGATTAACAAATGTAACCAAAAAAACAATTTTTTTTTTCAATGCAGCCTGTAGAACCCTCGACTACTCTTTCTCCGATCAGAACAAAACCAGCTTGGCTACCAGGCGTCCCCAAAGTGGAGCTGGCATTTCCCGTGTTTACTTCGTTTCAAAGAGCAGGAAGCCTGCGAAGGTGGAGAAGCGTTGGTGGTCCCCATGGAGAGCCCCGTTGCCCATCCTCAGCCACACCTCATCTCCTTTGGCCAGCTTCAGCACTGCGTGGTTGCTGGACGTGTCGGATTTCCCTTTGGTTTCGTAGCTGAGGAGAGAGGGGGGCCAAGAAAGAAAGAGGACACCAGAGGCTTAGTCCTTGCCACGGACGATCTGCTTTCCACCCAATCTTAACCCCCCTCTCCTGGTGGTATAGTGGACTCGGAATTGAGCTGCCAGCTACTAAGTCAGTGGTTCAAACCCACCAATGTCTCTGTGGGAGAAAGACCAGGCTAACTATTCCTTAGAGATTGAACATCATGGAAACTCAGAGGCCGTTCTGTTCTGCCTACTGGGCTGCCATGAGTAAGAATGGACTCGGTGTCGGTGACTTGGGGCTTGTTTTCCGCTGCTAGAAAGTCCTGTGCTCTTGGCAAGTCCGGTGATGACGTTATCTAAATGGAAGGTGAGAGGAAATGCTGGGTGCCGTTTCTAGGCGCCGTGGGGGTAGAGTGGGTTGTGTGTTGGACTGCTAACCATATGGGCCACAGTTTGGAACCACAGTCACTCCAAGGCTTTCTACTCTTGTAAAGACTGAGTCTTAGCAACGGACAGGGCCGCTCTACCCTGTCTTGCAGGGTTTCATTGAGCCGGGAATCAACTCAATGGCAGTAAGTTTGTGAGATTTCTAGGCCCTAAGGCATCCTTCTGGCACCATGGTGAAGTGTGGCTGATAACGGAAGGGTAGGTGGTTCAAACTTACCTTTCAAGGGAGACAGATGTGGATTGCTTAAAGGGTCCAACCGGGAAGCCATATGAGGAAGTTCTACTCTGTCCTTTGGGTCAGAATCAACTCAACAACACCAGGCTTAGTTTGGGATTTACTTCTAGAAAATTCTCACAAATACCCTCTGGATTCCTTGCCTTTTGTGACTGGAATGGTGCTGACAAGGGCCAGGAGGACCCTGGA